GATATAAAGTCCAGCCAGCAACAGTGGCAGCACGAAAAGCATTTGCTCTCGCAGCGACATTGGGCGGGGGGGGGGGGCAGACAAAAGGGCTCCTCCTTGGCCGCCCTTCTAGTGAAACACGCGTGGAGACCTGGTTTTGACCTCCCTAAAGCCGCTTTAGGCTTCGTCCCCTTTCGGGTTCTAGGGCATCTTCCCACATCCCCGACGCGTTTCAGCATGAAATGAACTGCGCGGCGTAGTTCGCGTTGAAACGCAGACGCAGGCTCCGGTGTGGTTTGGGGATGTGGATTGAGTTGCAATGCATCTTTTTACCTGCGTGATTAATATTATTATTATTATTATTTTAAAAAATGGCAGCAATTCTTATTAATTGCTAGACATTTTCAAGGAGAATGGCTTTGAAGGATTTTTCCTTGGCTCCTTAGTAGAAGGGGGGGAGAGAGAGAGCTGGGTAAAATGACTGTTTACGCCAATTTCCCTGGGGAGAACTGAGGCAGCTGGATGTTTCTGTCAGAAGCCAGTTACTAAGTGGGTGTTAACAGCCACACCTGTTGCTGAAATACCATGGGCTTCAGTGATAAGTTAACTTTTGCTGTTGTTCACTTATTTGGTTGCTTCCTACTCTTCTTGATCTGATGAGTGTTATTTTCTCAGCTTGGTTTATCAGAAACCACTACTTTTTGAGTCCTTTCAAACTAGTGACAGGAGTCTAGTCACTTACCTTCTCTTGACTGCTTTTTAAATAGCCTTCCATTTTCCAAGTATCAGTGGTTATTCTAGAGAGCTCTTCTGTCCAATCCTTCACAAGATTCTGGACCTGTGAAACAAGAACCTAGAAAACACTATTAAACAGACGTCTTCTATAGCAGCCTTTTCTAATCTGGGCACCTCTTAATATGTGAATTTGGAGTTTTCCAGCCAATGCCAGATGTCTGTAATGAAGGATGCTTTGAGATGGACAGCTCCTAAACTCCTGCAGCTATTGTTCAATTTTATCATGCAACTATTTTATTTTTCCTTTTCGTTTGTATATGTAGTAGCTTAAAAAATAGGTGGTAGTAGTTACCCTTGCTTGCAGGGCACCTTTAACATTCTGTGAATGAGGCAGGATGACTCCTACATGAAAAATACCTTGTAATTAGGCTGCTTCAGATGAATGGGTTGGATTCAAATTGAGCATTCTGTAAATAGAAAGCAGAGGCTCTTCTCAGAAATAAAGAATGAGCAGGCCATCTTTATCACATTTTGTTCCGTCTGCATTGCCTTGACATCTCAGCATTTCAGATCGGCTTTCTAAGAAAGCTGCAGAGCAAATGACTCTACTAAACATTAATTTCAATCCAACCATTTTACGGGAAAGAGTGTGCTCTACAAAATAAACACATGGCTTTTATGTGAAGGGCTCCAGTGATCTTTGTAGCTCCAGATTAAAGCAATCTTGTTTAGCAGTTTTGAGAAAAACTTCAATGTAAGTCTCTGTGGAAATGCTACCACCTAATAATGTAATAGTAGCCTTGATACAGCCTAAAAATAGGTTTGTATATTGAAGTGATGTCTCGGCATTGTTGCTGAGCATAGAGATTCCTGAAAAATACTATTTTATAGTAATCCTTTGAATTATATTTTATATAATTGATGTGCTTCTTATATAAAGATAAATACCATGAAATAAGAGCTAGTAGAATAATGTTTCCTATGCAACTTCAAATGATTTAACTCCTTTTCTGTTGCTATTTTCATATTTAGTTTTCTAATGCTGCCTTGAATACATTAAGATGATTTTCCTGTATGGTTTTTGAGGGGCAACATGTCTAGTGTTTCAATAGGAGCCATTGGAAGTCTGTTACTTGACATTCTAAGTTATTTGGCCTCCTTAGGCCACACTTAATGAGGAATATAATGGCACTTTCATTTTTAGTCTAAGCAGTTCTGCTAAGGAGACACTAGACATTTGTTTTTGTCCAGTCTCCTAAATAAGAAAGTATCTCAGATAAGATGCTTTGTTCAATGTTTCTTTCCTAAGGGAACTGTACCTTTATGCTATTTATACAAATAGCACCTTTCCTGATAAGTTGCTTTTCATTTAGCCAAGTCTTATTGCTGGAATTTGCCCCTCTTGCCACCAGCCAGCTGATGCCCAGCTTGAGAATTGCTGTGACTAGAAAGTAGAAGACAAGAGGCACACATAGGCAGCATGACTTCAGTGAATACCATACAGTATGTGCTGCATTCCTCTGCTACTGGTGCTGAAGTAATGCGGCAGAAGAGCAGACACGGGACAAATTTTTCTCGGTCTCAACAGAAAGTGGGTCTTTTGTCTATGCACTTGATTCATACGGAAATTAGCTGGCACTGCCTTGGGATTTGGAGACCAGCAAGAGTTTTTGATTCTCGATATTCTAACAGTAATAGCAAAATTATTTCTCCTCCAAGAATAACCTTCTGAAAATGAAGTTGGTGGTAGAGGAGAGAAATACAAACATATTTGGGTGCAGGGCTCATTTCTATTGAAACCAAATTGTCTAATCATACATATCAGGTGAGGGAGAAGAAGAATCTTCTTTCTGTCTAGAGCAATCTAGACTTACTTCTTATGATCCCTTTTGCATAGTAATGTTTTGGTTGAGAGCTTTTCTTGTAAGAACTTTTCTGTGCCATTCTGTAATTCTAAAACAAGGCAACCAGTATATTTCTACCCACCTAAATTCAAATAATTAAACTTTAGAGTATGTGGGTCTATGTGGGTAAGTGTGAAATTGTAATTGTTGTGTGCAGCATTATCTAATGAAACTTGTAATAGACTGACTGAAAATGCTTGTTAACAATTAGCTATTTTTGTAATGTGTATTTGTCTATTAACTGTGTAGAGAGGACTCTGTCCTACAAGCCAGTCTAAAAATCCTTTAAAAGAAAGGCTAAATGGTTTGGCTCAGATTTAAAGGATGCAACCGGTTTCTTATAAGTGGATTTCTCTATTTCACATGAAATCCTTTAAATCCCATTACAATGATTATGCCATGTGAGAGGAAAGTGGCAAGTAGGGTAGACTCTGGTATACAGATAAAGGGAGTAATCAAATTTTAACAAAGGCAACTTGTCATGACTTAATTCTGTTCATGAAAAGGTCTAATATACCCTTTCCCAGCCATTGCTTGTATCAAGGTAGGATGAGAGGTCCCCAGACTAATTTGTTAGGGGCAAAAAGGCTGTCATGAATAGGGGATGCTGAAAAAAATAGTTTTTAATATATTTATATAAATTTTGATCTAAGAAATAAGAGCAGAATTATCTCAGGTGCAAAGTTTATCTTGATGCCTCCCAACAAAAACAATGTGTGAGAATTTCAGGCATTCTAAGAAAGAGTGAAGTTGCTGGAGAAACTAAGGTGCAAAGAGAACCACCATTGTAATGAATTGAGTGTAAAGAATCAGTGAACCAGTGAGTATAGCAAGTATAAAATGCTTGCAATATTTCATTGAGATTCTTATTCCTTTCCATGAAGAACATTCCCAATCAATTGTAAGATCTGAAATTTGCTTAATTGTACTAAAAGGATGCATCTTATTTGAATATTCTCTTCCTTTCTAGTTCAAACATTAATCTACAATGGCAGACAAGAGACCAAAGGCTGGCTCCACATCTTGCAGTGTACTAAGTTGGGAACAGGTCAGTCGCTTGCATGAGATCCTGTCAGAAGTGGTGCCAATTCATGGACGGGGCAATTTTCCAACTCTGAAGATAACTTTGAAGAAGATCATACAAACTGTTCGGAGCAGGCTGGAAGAAGCAAGTATTCTAGTGCACGACATTCGACTGAATGGCTCAGCAGCTGGTCATGTCTTGGTTAAAGATAATGGACTGGGTTGTAAAGATCTAGATCTTGTTTTCCAGGTGTCCCTCCCAAGTGAGATTGAGTTCCAGTTGGTCAAAGAAGTGGTGCTGCAATCCCTTTTAAATTTTTTGCCGGAAGGTGTGAACAAACTCAAGATTACTCCCATGACTCTTAAGGAAGTATATATTGAAAAGTTGGTGAAGGTATCCACTGAAAATGACCGATGGAGCTTAATATCTCTCTTCAACAGGCACGGCAGAAATGTAGAGCTCAAGTTTGTGGATCGTATACGGCGGCAATTTGAGTTCAGTGTGGATTCTTTTCAAATAATATTAGACTCCCTGCTTTTTTATTACGAGTGCTCAGCAAATCCAATGTCGAAGCACTTCCATCCAACTGTCATTGGGGAAAGTATGTATGGTGATTTTGAGGCAGCCTTTCTTCATCTTAAAAACAGACTGATAACGACCAAGAACCCTGAGGAAATTAGGGGAGGTGGGCTCCTGAAATACAGCAACCTTCTTGTGAGGGACTTCAAGCCCATGGACAAAGAGGAAATCAAAACCTTAGAGCGCTACATGTGCTCTAGGTTCTTCATAGACTTCCCAAGTATTCTGGAACAGCAGCGCAAATTGGAAACCTATCTGCAGAATCACTTTGCGGAAGAGGACAGAAGCAAATACGACTACCTAATGACCTTGCGGAAAGTGGTGAATGAGAGCACTGTATGCCTCATGGGACATGAACGTAGACAGACCCTGAACTTGATCTCCCTTTTGGCTCTCAGAGTTCTTGCGGAGCAAAACATCATCCCTAATGTTACTAACGTCACTTGCTATTACCAGCCAGCACCCTATGTTAGTGATGTAAATTTCAGCAGCTACTATGTTGCAGATATCTACGGCCAGGTGTGTCCCACCTGGCTGCCCTGCAATTGATTTGTCTTCAGCGCCTCCATTCAGCCAGAATGGAGCGTTTCCTGTATTTCTCTTAGCTGCTTAAATAGGACTAACGTTACCAAGCTTTAGTCAGGTCATAAATTAGTACTGCCGTTCATAAAAGAAAATCTCTTTTCTATTTGTCCTAATGTCTTTGTGCAATTTTTAAGGCTGAAGTCTGAAAGATGATGTCCAGCGACACCAGAACAATAATAGATACTTAATTGCTTCCACGATATCTTATTTTTTTGAAGTTTCATTGTCTGCAAGTTCTGTTCCCAATTTAATGGAAGTAATGAGGACTAATCTGGTATTCTTGTGCAGGAAAAATAGCTATATTGTAGCACACAATTAGCTGATCAAAACCCCACTAAAAGGAATGGAATTGAAGCAGTTTAAAGTAGGTAGTATGAGAGCCATTTTCCTGAAAGTCTTAATCAGCTTCCTTCTGGCACCAAAACGGTAATAATGAAATTGTCTTTAAAAAAGAAAATCCTTACATTCCAGTTGGTGCATTTTAGTTTAAAGAAATTGGATCCTGGAAACTTTGTGCTGGCAGAAATTGATTCCAAGATACATAGCTTTCGTGATCTCTTCTTCTCACAAGCTTCCTCAGAAATATTTTGAGACCTTCCTTGAAGGAGGAAGGTGACCGCAATGGAGGCAAAGAAAGTCTAAACCTTTTTAGGAGGGCAGCCTTGGCAATGGGGAGCTCTTGATTTGTAGCAGTCTCAAAGCAGAAGGCCATGATTTCTTCTAGCCAGTTTGGAAGACTGCCAAACAAAGGAGGAAGCAGGAAAGTACTCTTGCAAGGGTAATATCGGATATTTGCCTTTTCTTAATAATGCAATCCAAAAATTCTGTGGAAAACCTTTTAGGTAGCAAAACAATTACTGGAAAACATAGAGGTTTATGAATCTGTAGTTTGGAATTCTTATTTTCCCCTGAAACTCAGCATATACAGAATATGGAGTTAGTATTTTTCTAAAATTATATTGAAACTTATAGATTTTTTTAAAATATATATATTTTCAATCAAGATGACAATCCCAAGAAATGAATTCAAACCAAAAAATATATAAATATATGAAACCAGATTATGAGAGGGTGGTAAGGGTAGGAATTTATGCTATTGATGATGTGAGTAGCAATAACTGCAGTAGAAATGATGGTTTCAATAGTTACCCGAGAATAAAATACTCCAATTAGCACTCAGTTAACATTCCAAATTCTTGGAAAAAATTCTTAAAAGTGAGTTCAGTTTAAAGCAGTTATAAATCTCTAATTCTTCCTGTTCAGGGTTTATTGGTACTTGTAGATTTTTAGGAAGCCTCTTAAAGTTCAATGGTATAGAAATGAAAGAAGGGCTTTGGTGAATAAATGAAGGTTTTGTGAGAAGGAAATCTGTCAAGCATGCTTTGATAGCTCCACTGACTTTTTCATAAAGAAGAGGGCTCAAGACACTTGTGCGGAATTCTTTCTCAATTGCACTTTCTTGGCAGCAAAGCTAATAGCCATAAGGAATACTTTGCTAGATTATTGAAGAAATTCATGGTTGATTAGCATAGATTTACCAAATCCAGATCTCAGCAGAACACCTAAAATTCCTAAATCGTCTATTAAATACAGAAAGAAGATAGATAGTTTTCAACCTATAGAGTTTTTTAACAGGTTTTCTATTCCAAAAAGCTATTTATTAAACTGGTATATTTGTATTATAGCATAAGCATAACATTTCCAGAAAAGGGAACAAGGGTAAGTATAGGACAGGGTAATGACAAAGAAAAACATGTTTGGAAATGTTCATTACTGACTAATAGAAATCCTTAAGTTTCTCTCAATAAAAGTTCAAAATAGGATAGCTTTTTAAAAAAGCAGTATTTCTTCTGTAACTTAGAGATAAATTCTTATCTGTGGAAAGGTGGATAACCTTGGCAGTGCTAAAGTGGCACCACCTTGTTGAATTCCTTCTTGAATCAAACTGATAAGCAGAGAAACGTTGAGTCCTATTTCAGTTGCTGTAGTTAAGCTACATGTTTTGCTTGACCATATCAAATTGCTGAAATTAATTGCACTGGATTATTCAAAAACAGAAACAAAGTAAAAAAGTTAAAAAAAAACAATGTGATGCTCATGAAAAGATTTATTCTGCTTCCTGTTGTAGAATTGCACCTTATGATGAGAGGGGAATGTAAAATAGAATTGTATCACAAAAGGGCGCAATAAGCTGAAGTTTAAACCTTTAATATTAAATTCAAAGCTGAAATTCATAGATGATGCCTAATGATTTTTTACACTGGTAGAAACTTACTTTGTAAGCATTTCTGGCAAGTACGTGTTTCTCTAAATTGCAAAATTATTGTTAGTTGCTAGATAAGTATGATAGCTTTGGAAAGGGCTGTTGGCATGCCCCTGATTTTGGTTTTCTTAAACTTGAAAGCTTAAAGTAAAATATTTTGGTCAATTGAATGGTGTATGTCCTTTTTTTATTTCCTCTGCACCTCCATAAAATAAGGAGACTTTCAAAGAACTTCTCAGTTTGTTCCCAATTTCCCAACTATCCATTGTAACTCTGTATTCTCTCCAGTGCTTGGGATCCAATCAGGGAAGATACATATTGGAGGATGCATTTGAGGAATATCACTTGGAAGATCCAGGTTCAAATGCACTTTCAGTTGTAAAGATTCACAGCAACTGTCATCTGTTCAACCTTCTGTAACTTTGCAATAATCTTCTGGGGGACAGCAATAAGAAGAGAATGCTATGGACATCTCTTGGGGGTAATCTGAGTAAATGAGATTGTTTCTTGGTCTTCGTTTTCTACCATACGTTGAAGAGACAGTTGACTTCAAATGAAACCTGTGTTTTGACTTAGGTCTGCCTTAAGACTTTAGACAAAACTTGCCAATTCTCCTTCAGAATATCCAAGCATCATTTATTTGTTTTCCTTTTATACTCTTATGAATAGTCTATAATGATATGTTTGAAATTCGGCGTTTCTTATGAACAGATTTTTTTTTGAGAGTGGGTTGAAGACATTATTTTGAACCCTTAAGTGCCCTCGATTTGAATTTCTAACTCACTGAGAACTAAACACTCTTAAAACCATGCTTTTGTCTTTTTAAAACAAAATTTTAAACAAAACATATTTCAGGTTGTTTTCTATTTTGACTACATAGATGCTAGAAGATTAAATTGGGATCTTTCAGAATAACTTGTTCTCAAGGCTTCAAAGTAAACAACCTTTTGGTTTCTGACAGCTGTTAGTTTCAGTCTGTAAATTCCACAAAATTGCTTTGAAAACCTTAAGAGAAATGTAGATTTTATTTCAAATCAGAATAGTAATGATTTTAAATGTCACTTCCCAGGGACTCCTTAAAAATCATGTAGCATAACCTACTTATGCAGAAAATGTGTTCTGAAAAAGTAGATAGATACTGTTTTGCAGTTCTGAAAAGAAAAGATATAAAAATATATAAGTACTAGTGCTAGTGTAAGTTAATTTAATCATAGAATTGGAAAGACAATTTAAGCAGTTGAACTCAATCCCATACTCTGAAAAAAATCCTAGTTAAAGATAAACGGCTGTTTAATTTTTGTTTCAACATACCTAATGAAATGGAATCTACAGCTGCTCTGGATAATAGATTCTAGTAACACAACCCCTTACTAAGAGGAATTTGAAAAAGTTAATTGGAAACTGTCTTTCTCTAACTTAAATCTATTTTTCTATGATAGAGAATAATTACTGATCTTTTTCAATGTGACATCATTTCAGGTATTTGAAGAGTACAATCATGTTCCCATTTCTTTCAAAGCCAAACCTGCCCAGTTCTTTCAATCTGTACACATACTTTTCTCTAATTTTTATGATCTACTCTGATTATGTGACACCTATGAGTCAGACTGAAGGGCCTGATCCATTGGATTGCCACCCTTCAAGGAGTTAGAAGGCAGTTGGCCTTAGGAGGCTGGTAAGGCAGTTAATCAGCATAAGCAGGTGAAAGTAGACTTGGATGATGATGCCCAGAACCTGGTTGGGTTTTTAGCCCCATGATGCATTGGTAGCAGGACAGAGGTGATCCTCTTCAAGAAGCAAGGATGCCAACATCCTTAACTGAACCACATCTGCAGCTAGGTATACTTCAGAACAGCCATCAGCCTGGAAATAAGCTACTATTGTCAGACCTGTGCTCCTGATCCTTGACTCTTAGCTTTATGAGCCAGACCAGCTTGTAGGAGTATTTGGTGATTTACACCTGAACTGTTCATATTTTGAGGGGATTGCCTACAAAATGTGAATTTTGTAAAGAGTTTCTATTTTTATATTGATGGATATGAGCCAAGGTGGCGCGGTGGTTAAATGCAGCACTGCAGGCTGACTGCTAGATCAGCAGTTCAGCGGTTCAAATCTCACCGGCTCAGGGTTGACTCAGCCTTCCATCCTTCCGAGGTGGGTAAAATGAGGACCCGGATTGTTGTTGGGGGCAATATGCTGACTCTGTAAACCGCTTAGAGAGGGCTGAAAGCCCTATGAAGCGGTATATAAGTCTACTGTTATTGCTATTGCTATATAAGTTTCCTAGAAATGTTATACTAGGGTTTTCTCATTAAGGATTACTTGGTTTCATTTTTCTTCTGGACTTTTTCCTTAGGTCCCTTTTGTAGAGAAGCATTTCAATTTTGGAACAGGATGAAGGAAGGATAAATTAGGTTTCCTTGAGGTCTCTGGTTAGATGTTATTGTATGGCATGAAGGGAAAGTCTCAATTGGGGTGAGTTTTTACACTTCATGTTATAGTAGAATTGCCATTCGGCAAACATTTAGGTTAAAAAGGATTGGTTAGCTATGTAACTAAGTTAGGGTCTAGATTGTGATTCCTGGATGTCTATTGTTCAGTTTGGATTCAGGATTAGTTTTAGAGATTAGTATTAATTGTATGTAGGAATTTCTGTCACTAAATATGGTGATAAACAGCTTCTCTTGCTGCAAGGGTTACTGTTAAGAGTTAGGCTTTAAGAGGTAGGCTTTCTAAGTCAATGGTAGAATCTAATTCTGATATTAGTTTTGAGATGTTTTTATGATTTGAGCTACATTCACAATGTAGTAGGATTACCCTCTAGGAAAACATTTAGGTTAAGCAATTTTGGTTTCACCATGAGTGAAAATTAGAGTAAGAGGCCATAGAACTAAATTAAATAAGTTTCCAGTAGTTGAGTTTCTTATATGGATGATATTTAGAATGAGTTTCAATGAATTGTGGTTTCTGGTTTTGTATCTTCTTGTGGAAATTGTTTTTTAGAACAATTTTGGTGATAACAATTCTTTATGGGCAGGAATAAGGTTAAGTTTAGACTACCTTGAGGACAGTGGTGAAATTTAATTATTATTAGCTCTGGAGTTCTGGTGTGATTTTTATGCAGTGGTACACTTGTGATATGGGAAAATTTATCTCTAGGCAAACTCTTAGATTAAAAACTATGGATATACTATAGCATAAAGTTAGAATTAGGTTACTTCAAGATCTGTGGTTCAATTTGCTGTGAAAATTAACTTCAAGGTAAATTTGTATTAATTGTTGCCTTAGATTTGTTTTACAGTTAGGATTATTTTTTACAGCACATTTTAGGGTACAGAATTTCCAAGAAAAACCAAGGCAGAGTTAAAATTAGGGGTGACATTTATACAGTGAAATTTATGGTGAAATTTAAATTCAGGCAATATATTTGGGGAGGGGAAATATTTTTGGTTAGCAAATATTCTTACATTGCTGCAACAAGAGATATTTCCTACCAGGCAAACATTTAGCTTGAAAATTTCTTTGGGGTTTATTGTATCATTAGTGGGTGTCTTACTTTTACGTTATGGTAGGGGATAAATCTTTGTACATGAAAAAGTGCTGTAGATAAATTGAGATTAGAATGAAATTTACACTTCTTTGAGGGGTTGTTCAATTTGATTGTGAGGACCAGCATTTAGTCAAAATTTTCCATTTAATTACCTAATCTTCAGTTTTTTAAATGAAATGTTGGGGAGTTCTGCAGTTTTTTGTGCAGACATAGACTTCTGGAAAGGAAACACATACACAGTGTTAGTTTGAAAAAGAGACAGAAGTAAACAAACACTGCTATCTATAGAGAACTCTTATCATTATTAGCTATACCCTGACCTAATTATCAGGAACCAATGGCTATAGGAACAGGCAGCCTGTGGTGCTTTGCTGGCACTGAAAACTGTTGGTAGACAGAACATCAGGTTGTTTAAGGATGGAAGTGGCATTGAGACTGCAGCAGTAGAATTTAGGTAAGATGACACATAATCAGCATAATTAAAACAAACTCATTAAAATACAGTTAAACAGTTACAAATATTATAGTAGAATATTACTCTATACATGGGGGAATGCACTATAAATTTGCACTCTGTGCAACCATTTAACTGGCTCCACATTACCATGAGGCTGCTAGGCTTGATGGCAGAACCAAGTTTTAAAGGCCGCCTGGAAGACCATTAGGGTCGGATGGATCCAATTTCATTCAGGGGGATGAGGATGTTGTAGAGGGTGGGTGCCATGGGAGAAAAGGCTTTCTTGGGTTCCACCAAACAAAGTTCCTTGCCCAAGGGGAGCTGCAATATGGCTCTCCTGCTAGGCTTGATGGGATGGATAAATGTAACTGAGGTGACCCCTCAACCTGTCTCTATGCCATGTGGAGCTTTAAAGCTCGTAACCAGCACTTTGAATTGCATCCAGAAACAAATTGGCAACCAGTGAGCTCACAAAGTCAAGATGGGTCATGCAATTCTTGAAGAATACATAACTACATTTTGCACAAGTTGAAGCTTCTGGATATTCTTCAAGGGCAGCCTCATGTAAAGTGCATTGCAGTAATCCATTCAACAAATGATCAGGACTTGATTGTACAGCCTCTGGATCCAGGAATGGGCGCAACTGGCTCACAACATAAAGTTTTGGTCCTTCTAACCAAAACTACCATCTGCTTCTTAGGTAGGAGCCATAAATCCAGAAGGAACCTCAGATGGTGCACCAAGTCTGTATGGACCAGTTTATTCCATCCAGCATAAAAGATGATAAATTTTCAGATCCTTTAGGCTCCCAACCCCAAAGCTACTCACTCTTGTCAAGGTTAAAACAAGGCTTGTTGTTTCCGTACAAAGTCGTACAGCAGGACTGTCAAACTGGTGGCCCATTGGCCGGATGCGTCATGTGCAGGCCATGCCCACCCCAACACCATGAATGGGGGAAATGTTATGAAACATCACGTGACAGCAACATGACATGAGTTTGACACTTTAGTGTCCTAGCACTAAGCAAGGATATTTACAGCATTGCTTAGTTTTCCATAGGTGGGGATGTCCAGATATGTATCATCAGTATACTGATAATATAGATGATGATGATGGATGATGCCACGCAGAAGCTTCAACTTAAGAAAGCTTGGATCACCCTA